ATAGTATTATAACAGCGAAATCATAACAATAATATTATAGATCTATTTTGTATTTGTTGTTATCTTTCGCAGATTCTGTTAGCCACAATCTCACATCAACGAAGGTGACGTCATCTGATCGTGATGACGTCATCACCAGAGCTGGGCCATGAGCAGGACGTGCAGCACTTGTTTCGCGCCATTCGGAAGGGCAAGGCTCACCTGACCCGCTTTATGCTGGCCGCGTCCAACAACGCACTGCTCAACTGTTGGAGCAGCGAGGGCCGCACGCCACTGATTGAGTGCTGTTATATTCGGGTAAGTACACCGTCCACTCCTGCAACAGCAACATCAGCAGCAACAGCAGTAGCAACAGCAATAGAAGTAACAAAAACAGCAGCTGCAGCAGCAAAAGCAGCAACAGTAGCAAAAGCAGCAACAGCAGTAATAGCAGCAACAGCAGCAACAGCAGCAACAGCAGCAGCAACAGCAGCAGCAGTAGTAACAACAGCAATAGCAGTAACCGGACTCGTAATCGTGAGGTTGCGGGTCGGGGGTTCGAGCCGCGGGCCCGACGTTGTGTCCTTGGGAAGGGCACTTTACACGAATTTTCCTCACTTCACCCAGGTGGAAATGAGTACTCGGCCATAGACAACGAAAGATCTTGTCAGTATGTTAGTGCTTTAGCGCCTATAAATGGTTGCTTGCACTGTATGCTTCCCAGGAAGTTTCAGAATGCTCTCATGTGTGCTGGGGTAATAGTATAGATTGTGAAGCGCATAGAGCTTGCTGTTCAGCGGGGATTTGCGCTGTACAAATACCATCTATTATTATTAACAAAAACAGCAGCAGGAGCAAAAGCAGCAACAGTAGCAAAAGCAGCAACAGCTGCAGCAGTGGTAACAACAGCAACAGCAGCACCAAAAAAAAACCAACACCTGCTGCAACAGTAATGACAGCAACTGCAGCAACAGCTTTAGTACCAACAGCAGTTCCAGAAAAATAAGCGTCATCTTCTAAAACATCTACAAGTACAACAACGACGACAACGGCGATGAAAGAAACAATAACCGACGCAATAGGCATACCGCTTATTCTGTTTAAAGATATGGTGACAGCAACACTTTAGAAAACATTGGAAATTTTCAACAAAAATGACTACACCAGCAAACTTTCCAAGTACACAAAAAAACAAAGCAATGACAATAAAAGTAGAATAATATCAGCGATCTTATGGGTGATACTGATTATAATTATATCGATGAAGAAGATAATAATGATAATAATAATAATAATAATAATAATAATAATAATAATAATAATAATAATAATAATAATAATAATAATAATGGTACTACTACTACTACTACTACTACTACTACTACTACTACTAAAGTATATTGCTGTTAATATCATAATCGTCATTATGTAGAAATTCTATGATACTGAATCGTATTTGATGAAATACATCTGTCATGTCACCCACGAGGAACACGGAAAGTGAAAAAAAAGTGGTTCGGTGTGCTCAAAAAATTACCCCGAATAACAATAGTATAAATACTACAGCATTATTTTCTGGTTTAGCCACAAAGGCGTCACTCGACCATTCTCAGATGTGGGTTAAGACACAGTCAAGAAAATGCTATTGTTTGCCTCGATGCTGACGTCAAAACGGAAATCGAAGCACTCACGTGTACAGAGATTTTAAGCAAATCATACTGAAAAGGGACTCAACATTGCGTTCACAGGACTGGGGATATAAAGGATAATCTCCATATTGGCCTATTCTTGGCGCCCCGCAAGACAAAGCTAATTACGGTTGTTATTAACAAGGCGGAGTTTTCATGTAGATTTTAATACTTTTTTCCGAGGATAATTAGAGGCAGGAAATATTGATTTGCAAAAGGTTTGAGCATTCTCTGTCGAATGGTGGCCAATATTAAATATTATAGGAGAAGGAATGGGAGTATGGGAGTCTGTTTTGAAAGCAGTATCTTTTTCTGTAGGTGAGCGAATGAGTGTGTGTGTGTGTGTGTGTGTGTGTGTGTGTGTGTGTGTGTGTGTGTGTGTGTGTGTGTGTGTGTGTGTATGAGAGAGAGAGAGAGAGAGAGAGAGAGAGAGAGAGAGAGAGAGAGAGAAGAGAGAGAGAGAGAAGAGAGGGAGAGGCCGACTGAGAGACAGCCAGAGAGCCCGAGACCGAGGCGATGACAAAGGAACAGAAAGAGCGACAGATCGACCGACACATAAACAACAAGAGACAGAAAGAGAGACAGATCGACCGACACATAAACAACAAGAGACAGAAAGAGAGACAGATCGAACGACACATAAACAACAAGAGACAGAAAGAGAGACAGATCGAACGACACATAAACAACAAATGACAGAACGGTAGAGAAAAAGACACAAACACACTGACTGAGTTGAAGGCTAAAGAGAAAGAGAGATATAAGGTGAGAGACATTGAATCGGCAGAAAGAAAGGGAAGGGGGTAAAATGGGAGGGACAGATAAACAGAGGACAGTGGAAGGGGTTCGGGAATATAATACGTTTGTATTTCTGGGTGGCTGCATGCTAGTGGCCAGGGGGCTATATCTAGACTGAGAGAGAGAGAGAGAGAGAGAGAGAGGAAGAGA